GCTTTTCGATAACATTTACAATTGAATCATTATCTATTTGTTCGTCACATCCATTCATTTACATATCACACGTCATCGCTGTAAACAACACCATTAGATAACACAAACACTTCCAAAAATCCAACCTCCATCACAAGTGTCATCATGACATGCGCAATTGTCCGGCGCCATCTTTGTGGTTTGTTTACGTTTTATTTGTGTTTATGCGCGCTTTAGCTGGAGGAGTTGTGTTGTTTATTCGTCGCGAATATCACTATGGTGAATTGTTGTGTAATTGGGTTACAGTAATACCCCGAACTTACGCGATAGGTGGGACCGAGCGATAACCGCGTAAGTCGGGGTATAATTTCCCAATTTGTGTAAAATCCAAGTCGAATGTATGTAAGCTAATAAATGTTCTCGTTAATCTTATCTCGTCTTTTGATTCGTTTACGGCAGCGCTGTCCAACTTATCATAGCCCGCGGGCCATATTTTCTTCACCAAACATTTCGGGGGCCAAGAAGGTTAATAAACCACATGACATTTGCATAGTGCTACGGTTCAGTAAGCACTAATTGGTCAGCGAGTCCGATGTTGACGCTATAAAAAGGCGACAGTTCGACACACCGGATATACGTCACTCTCGTCTAATGTAAGTTCGACTTGGGAATTTTTTTGTTCAATAATAAAAATAAATTCAATAAATTGTGAATTCTTCTTCCTGGAAAAATAAGACATTCCCTGAAAATAAGACCTAGCGCATTTTTCAGAGCAAAAATTAATATAAGACACTGTCTTATTTTCGGGGAAACACGGTAGTAAAATAATTTTATTAATAATAATAATTTAGTAACATAAATTTATTCATAGTAAAATGTACTCGCGGGCCGTAAAAATTATTTGGCGGGCCGTATACGGTCCGCGGGCCGCCAGTTGGACAGCGCTGGTTTACGGTTACAAGAAATCACCACACAGAATCTCTCAAGTCTTCGTAGATATAACAAACACAGAAATAAATAACACAAAATAAATTGTAGCTATGTGTCGATTCCGCGCGACACGTCCGAACATGTAAGCCGAACAATAGTATTGGGGGGAGTGAGGGTTGCGTGGCGCTCAAACAAAAGACGAATCGACGAGATTTGAAAATTGCGTAACTCCGGGTTCGCGTAAGTCGGGGTAGCGTAAGTCGAGGTATTACTGTAATGATAATTCACTCAAGAACAAAGGAACGTCATTTTTTAAAATTCTTGGCATTATTTTTTATCAAGGACCCCAAACTGAGGAGTTTTCAGGAGGCTCTGGAGAATTAACCAGAAAAATTTCAATACGGATAAAGTGAATATCAATACAAGAGTTTGTCAGAAACACTTCATTTCAGGTAAACAATAATATTTGATTACTAGTTATCAATAAATGATTAGATAAACTTTTTCATGAGTATCATAAAATGCGTACAAGCCGGTTGCAAAAATCCCTTTGTTAATACCAACAAAATAAACTTAAATAATTTTAACAACTGCAGATTTTAAGTTTGAATAGATAATGATTGTGTTCTAACTTTATTTTTTCACCTTTCAGTTTGTATTCTTAGTCTCTGCTTGTACTAAAAATATACAGTAGAGTTAATATTAAAGTAATAAGCAAAGTTAATCGTTTAGCAGATGAAGAATTAGAAATGAATTTTGAACCAATTGTCCTTCCAGTCTAATTTACATAAATAAAGATGTGTGTATTTTTAAAGATATACAATAATAATTTTCATTGATCACTTACAAATAGCCAAGTTAGGTTATTTTGGTGAACAACGTTAACGTTTAAGATGCTACTTTTTTACAATCACTACATAGCACCCTTCAAGTTGTTCCTGACATTCATATTTATTATTTCTATATAATATACCATGATGATAATTTAATATTAGACAATTAATAGTAAATTATCATCATGGTATATTATTTCTATATAATATACCATGATGATAATTTAATATTAGAGACGGGGCCCGACATATCTGGAATGACGACCTCCCAAAAACAATTCCTGGAGATTTAACGACCTGTCCGAATTCGAACCTGGGTCCCCAGAACGGCAGGCTGCCACTTTGACCGCTCGGGCATCCGGCCACTTGCTAGCATCTACAGTGTTTTATAAAACTCATCTCTACCCTTAAAGTTAATTCGTTTATATAATTTTAATTATTATAAAATATCAAAGTTTTTATAACAAAATCTCGTAACAGACGGCGCCACATACAATTTTAGTTATTTACTTTGATTAATAATACGAATGTTATTTAAAAAAAAAAATCTCATAAAAACCGGGAAAGTTACACAACTCGTTGCTAGATTTTTTAATGATTGTTTTGTTACAAATACAATATCAAAAATGCCTCGGCAAAGAAGAGACATCTGATTGAATATCTCTCAGGAAATGCCCATGGGAATATTAGTAGAATAAAATTCACTTGAAATATTTTATTTAAAATATTTAATAATTAAGCATACTCATTGTTTCAATTCATATTGTTAAAGAAACAATATCGGAAGACGACTTCTGTATTGTAAGAGTTTTATTTGCAATTATTTCTGAGTCCATTATTTCGGGACATTCCAATTTTCAACACTGACTCAGCGCTGATCTCAACATCCGTTAAAATTCGTTCCTTTTTTCAACGTTGAGGTAGCGCTGTTGTCAGCGCTGACTCAACACACTCAGCACTCAACAGATATGTTGACTGCTACTTTCCAATGAATTGTGGGTAATTGGTAAGATATTTGAATGGAATCCATCTTGCTGAGAATGGAATTATGGGAACTAAGCACTTCGTACTCGAGTTGGAACGTCGTTGATGACGTCAAATTGTTGACTTCAACACTCAACACTCGCGTTGAAAATTGGAATGTCCNTTATAGCATAGTTTATACGGATTATTCCCAAAAAATTATACGTGTTTTGGAAATGTTGAGTCGAATTAGTCTAGAATCGGTTAATTTTATGGAAGAAAACCTTTCAAACAACCTAAGTCCGTATACTTCACACGTGTCGGGCTGTGATTGGCTCATGTATTTAAGGATTCCTACAACGTAAAATTCTTATAAAGTGGAACGTATCTAAGCGTTATAGGGGGGGTCTACTGTACGAAATAATCTAATAATCTTTGTTGTTGATTTTTTGCCCGGGCAAAGCCGGGCTCATCTGTTGGTATATTATATTATTAAAAAATATTTTACCTCAATGGTAAAATATTTTTCTCCTCATTGTACGATGAATCATCACCAGACTGGGTACCAATATTATACATGAGGGTAAGAGTGACCACAACCAAATTGCATATCAGGAGCGTTATGAAAGAGCACGTAATCAAGAAAAATACAGCCACTTGTAAGATAGTTATGGATCTTTAAAAATTTGTAAGCTTTCATTTGTGAGTGTAGTAATTTGTTGTTAAAACCAAATAGTTTACGATGTCACTAAATTCTACTTTAGGCCATAACTCTTGGTCTACAACCAAGATACTGCATTCTTATGGATCGGTTTCAGAACAGTGCTGCCTTCATATGGATCAACACCTTGACATAAACTTTTTCTTCATAGAAAATAACATCTCGTCCTGTCGGAATGAGATAATAGCCCCGCCAGAAAAGCATCTTTTTTACTTTGTTTATGATATAAAAATACTGCAGTTCTATTAAGTTTAAATAGAAAACAAAAGCGCTGCCAACCTGTCAAATAACAAACCACGTGCAAACTAAGCAAGCGGAAGTTAGACCACAAACATGGCGTTTTATCACGTAACATGTGACCTTGAAATCTCTATAAAGTTCTCCGGAGAGGTAATTCCCTTCCGAGAATGCTCACGCGTCGCGTTGCCCTAAACAAATAAAACCTAAACCTTAAATGTTTGTTTGCTTCTCGACGTTTCGCCTTTTGACCGACAATTAGAACTTACGGTCTGCTCAGAAATGCGGTATAACCGATCGGTTGGTTGGTAGTGGTGAATGACGTCATCAGTAATTGGTCGGTGACACTAGAGAGGTTGCGGCCGACGTTTTCAATGCGAAAACGTGTACGTCGGACGTTCAGCGCCGCTTTCCTATAAACCTAGAAGTTTGACAATGGTGTTTGAATAGTCAGTGGAATCACGCTCGACATTCCAAACACCATTGCCAAACTTCTAGGCCTTCAGGAAAGCGGCGCTGAACGTCCGACGTACACGTTTTCGCCTTGAAAACGTCGGCCGCAACCTCTCTACTAACGCACCCTGAAAGACTGATGCGTCTGGTAGCAAATGGTAAATCACGGGAAACTATCGGTTACGTTTTTTTAATAACGCTCGGTCTCAGCGGTTGAACCGATAAGCTTTTCCGAACAGACCCTTAACTTTAGCATTTTTACTTAATTAAAAATTTAGAAGTATGAATACCATAGGATGCCATTTTCTTTACAGTAAGATTTAAACAAAAAATTAATTTTTGTTTAAGTCTGCGTTGCTGTCACCAAAATGAATTTTAACTTTTGAAGTAGATTATTTCATTACTTATACAATAAAATTTTATTGTTCAGAAAAATAAAGTGATGATTGTTTATTAGTAAATTTTTTGTGTAATAATAATTATGAAATATATATATTCCATAATTATTATTACAAATTTTAACTCTCATGTGGGCATTAAGAGAGCCTTTTTAGCAAGGCCATTATCGGACCACCCCCGAAAAATTCCTGGTGTTTTTCCGACTCATCCGGATTGAATCCGCAGTTCCCCAATAATTAGGTTTAATACCAATTTAACAATTATAAGGTCGGCCATCCGGCCGTCATTTCATAATTATTGTTAAATTGGTATAAACTAAACTATTGTTTATAAATATTGTGTTAATTTATTATTGAGAAAAATTAATAAGTGCACTTTTTTTTCTTTCGAACCTTCCAAAAATTCCATTTTTACTTCAATAATCACACGTGAAAACAACACGCGTTGGCCACATCTAAGAGGAGGGAGAGGGAAAAAAGACACCATTTAAATATAAATATTTATTTTGCTGAATATAGAAGACAATACTACCAATGTTTGGTGATCTCTCGTAAGCCTAAAAATAGGCAGAAAATTTTATGGCACGATGGCAATGTCACCTGAATATCACAATAAGATAATTCTCTTAATTGTAAGTTAAACCCACTCTTTGACGGTGTCTTTAAAAAAAATTTGACGACACCCGAGAGGTAGAATTTGATAGTCCAACGGTTATTCTTGTTCGGATAATGGACAGATACATAATTTGTTCCTTTGTTTACTTACTCGTACATAAATTGTTTTACTTAACAGCTGTCTAATGATTTGTCACCACTTTTAGTACCAGTTAATATTGCTTAATACGTAATTTTGTTACAAAGTTATTATTATTAATATTAATTAAAAAAAATAATTATATAAAAAAAATATCCCCAATCGTTAATCCGATCGGACATTAAAAAACATCATCTAAAAACAGTTTCGCTTTAAATTGTATATTAAAATTGTTACCGAGAAGTTCGTCGATATGTGTTAACGACACACATGGAATACGGAAAAACCAAACTATAAAAATTCAGTAAGTACATCGAATATTCGGCACTAACAGTAAAAGCACGACACAAAAATCCGCGTTACGTAATTATACTAAACACGTAAAAGTTAGAACATTTACAACTCACTGCTAAAATCGATCCAAAAAAAAAAAACCAAAAACAAAAAACTTTGTATGAGTGAACGTTTTTTTTCCTTCACTTTAAATGCATAAGAAAATAACTTATAATCCTTACAGCATGATTTTATTGCCCGTACTGTAAGGGCAATGGAAGCCTTATTTAAGTGGCAGTTGTCTTGGCACGTGTAAAATTACGATAATCATATATATATATATTTATATTTATATAATATATAATCTGGAAACGGGAGTTTAAAGGGTACTTCACATTTTGTAACTCCAAATCTCACTTGTATAATTCGGTACATTAAGCAGAATTATTATAATAATTATTATATAAAATTGGAACAAAGCCTAAAGTTTTGATATAAATTCGACCGATCTCTTCCCGTTAATTTTATCGTATTGCCGCCCCCCGAATTAGGGAACGTCGTTCTCACGATATAGAAAAACGATAAAAAATTTTTTGATGCCGACTGGACTTTGTAATATTTTTCTAAAATGGCCAAGATGATAACTGCTGAATATATCGGTCAGTCACTCTCTTATATTGTTATTTCACCGCAGAGAGGCACATGAAATGGAAAGAATTAATAATAATAATACTATGAGCAAATGATTGGGACTCGAAAGTGACGAATTATTGGGTTCCGTGGGCTTCACAGGAGAGAATTTAGTGGCTGCTGCTGGGGTGGACACGCTAAAGTACAAATCTTCGAAACCTTCCGTGGGTTCTGCCGAAAGGGCATCGTATCCACTTCCGCTTCCGCTTCCGCTGTATACCCAATCCGAATCCACTATTAAGAAATAATCACAATCAAGAAAATCCCAACTTCATAATTGTTAAGTTAATAAATCTTGGGTTTACCTGAATCAGGCCATTCTACATCCATTCCATTGTAGGCATCTTTCAATTTACTTGTAATCAGTTTTAAGGCTAAGACTTGCTGATTAACAAAAGAGTTCAGATGATTTGATCCGTCGATCAATTCATTAATAACTGAGCCGTTGTGCTGATTAAGCATTGTAACATTGTCGTATCTGTTTTTAATTGAACAAGCATCAGAATTGTTCATAAAATTGTAAGAAGGAAACTTCAAAATTGTATTATTTACCTGGCTTGATGGAAACCGTTCCAACAATTACTGTCTCTTTTCTGAGGACTACCACTTAATTGTTCGTTATTACACATAGTTTGAGGTAACTTTGACCAATAACCTTTCGTGCGTTTAAAACGTTTACGTATACTTTGTATGAGTCTATCTAGGCTGGTGCCAGCAGCCGTCGTTGGTCTAACCCCTCCATATTGTTTGTATGAGAATTTAAGCGTTTCAAATGTTAATTCGTGAGTACTGCGTTTTTCTAATTTTGGTTTGCCACATTTTTCGAAAAGCTGAAATTAGCAATAAAACATTAGCCAATTTCATTTATTTTTAACCAATGAAAATAGAGCAAATAAACTCACCTTTTGTGAAATTGTGTGACCATTTTCTTGGAAATTCATAATAGCATCTGATATTTTTATATTAATTGGATTTACTACAGATTCTATATTGAATGAACTTTCTAACCTTGACCCAAGCAGAAACAATGCATCTGAAATTATATCATAAAAACAGATTTTTATATATTACCATTTATAGATATTATGTTAGGCATGATTTTTGTATATTTTATACCAAATTTTTTAGCAGATTTCAGCTCTTATAAATAGACAAATCTACTTTCAAGTTGTGTTATATACTGGGCATCTTATAGGTTTCTGCAAATTAAAATAAATGCTAATAGATTGGCTCCATTTAACAGATTTTATATTTAAAAAATTTTCTCAAATTAATTGCAATTTTGTAACTGAAAAACTGCCTTAATTGATCCTTAATAATATGATAAAGAATTTTATTTATTTTTAATATGCATTCATTAGTTTCATTGTTAATATTATATCTAATCAATTTTTTAATAAAATTTATTATATATTAAATTTAATTATAAAATA